GAACTGGCTGTCAGCAGAGCCAGCAACATCTGCTGTTTCCTACAGGCTCCACTCCTGCCGCCCGCGGCAGCAGCCTGTGCTCACCAGGACATGCAGGCTAAGCGGGCCGGCTTCTTGTTATTCACTCGCAAGCAACTTTCTGCTGAAACGGAAAGTGATCGTTTTCACTGTTGTTCCTCTCCGGGCATGACATTTAAAAGAAAGCCATTTTACCAAATCCCAAAGTGATCAAAGAGCTTGCATTTTCTCCAGGGAGACCCAAATGCCCTTGCTCTCCTCGTCCATGCCGACTCCATGGTTTTCCTCTTCCTTTTTGTTTTAGTCAGGAGAAAAGAAGGACTTGGCTTCCATGCAGGGATTTAAGGTGGATTCCAGTTTGTTCATTTTCTTTCTTTTTTTAAAAATGTATTTAGTACAGGGTCTACAGGGTCTCACTATGTAGATAAGACTCACAGTGAGTCTCCTGTCTTCAGCCTCCCAAGTGCTGGGATTACAGGCATGTGCCACCACACCCAGTTGCCACCATACCCAGTTTCAATCGCCGGCTAAGCATGACCCAGGGGTGGGGCTGACACTGCACACCTGGGATCAAACCCTGGCGCTTTAGTCTGCTCAGCTATCTGGCTGGCCAGACTCATTTACCAGGAAAACCAAATGGTAGATGAAGCTTGGAATCACCTTGGGCAGAGGAGCACCTCAGGAGGCGGCGGCCGTGGTCAGGAGATCACACTCTGGCTGGCTGGCATGCTACCCATTCAAGGGTGTCTTTTTTTTTTTTTTATTAAGTCATGCTGCAAGAGAGCTAACCTTTTACACACAGGAATCTTTCCACCGTCTGTAAAATTAAAGCTCTTTGAGCTCTGAGGCTGCTGTGCGTAATGACATTACAAATGTCAAGTCCCTGTTCTTTCCTCCCAGCCCCATTTCAGGGGCCCACGGCCCCAGGGGTGGTCACGTGGCCTGGGAAGCTTTAGGGAGCCAAGAGACAGATGGGGTGGCCTGGCTGCATGCTGGTTGTCCAAGGAGAGATGGCGCACCCTTTGGGGAGCAGCTGGTAGCACTGGCACCTGGGCTTGCCGGCTTCTCCACCCAATATTCACGCTCAGCTCTGCAAAGTCAGGACTCCTGCATGAGCCTTCCCGACCCTGGCATCCTCAAGGACTTCCCTGTCACTAAAGATGATGCTCGGTGACTTATAGCACACAGCATTGCCCACAGGAGAGCAGTTTCTAGGCTTTGAGCAGAGTCAAGCGCTGTCACTCATTGTCATAAAGTCCTACACTTTTTTTTTTCAAACAAAACTTTGGTAATCACACCACCATCACCTTAATGCTGTGGCTGTTGAGCAGTGAATGTCACGCGCTTGCTAAATGTCAGGGGATGAGGTGCATTTGCACTGCCACCAATCTGAGCTACATTTTACTGAGAACAAGCTGACCTGGATCCCACTTTTAAAGTAAGTGTTATTCTGTTCAGTTCCGCCTGCATCCCCAAGGTGCAAACAAGTAGCTGCTTAATTGGTAAGCAGCCTAGGAAAGGGGCATGGAAGCCCCTGAATTTAAACTTACCTGCATGCAGCTTCATGGAGAAAGAAAGCATACAATTCCAGGTGCTCCCCGGGGAAGGTTATTTATAATTCAGCTGTGTTCACTCTGTGCTCGTTACTGACAGCCCACCGGGTTCAGCTGCTGTCTGAATCCCATGTTTATTCAACCATTAACGAGTATTTATAATACAAAAAGATGAGTTTACTTAAAAAAACGCGACGTGCCGTGGCTTTAAAAACTGAATGGTAGCATGGCATCTGTTAGGTTTTGGATGACTATGACTGGATTTCAATCAACTCTAAGTGACTGGGGCGATAATTATATTTAGTCATTTCTTCCTCTTGTCACCTCTCTTTGGTCAGTTCAGTGCTTGTTGACACCTTCAGTGATGAGACACCTGGAAAAGTGACAGGGGCTGAGAACCTCCTTGGTCCATGCGGCGCTGGGTGGAGCAATGGGAATTGCAGGGGAGGAGGAGGACGAGGAGGAGGAAGGGAGGGAGGGTACTCAGCGGTTTAACTCACTGCCTCTCCCCCACAGAGCTGAGATTCTTTGTCCCTTAATTCTCACCCCATAGCTGGCAATTAGTAGCTTTTCAGCACACATCCAATGTGCCTAGGAGACATCTTACACAATTTTGAGTGACTGATCTCTTGAAGGACACTTATTTTACATAAAAATATTTATTTATTTGGTACAGTGTCCCATTACACAGTTTAGACTCATAGTGATCCTCCTGTCTCAGCCTCTTCAGTTCTGGGATTATAGGCACGGGCTACCATGCCTGGTTTCAGGGCTGGCACAGCCTGTGGTACCAGAGATTGAACGCAAGTCTTTGCACTTGCCAGGTAGGCACTTAGACCGCTAAACTATCTCTCCAGCCCCTATTTTTGTATTTTGGTACCAGGAATTGAACTCAGGACCTTGTGCTTGCCAAGCAGGAACTGTGCCACTGAGCAACATCCTTGGCTCCCTACACCTATTTTATAGGAACATAAAATGTGTAGTTTGCTTTTTAAACTTGAAGATCTTCCCATGGACTTTCCTAGTTCTGTGTTCTAGTGGCAGGTCTGAATCACATGTTTATGTTACAGTTATAGAGTTCAAATCAATTGGGACAAGTGGCAACTGGAATTCCACATCTCTCTCTCTCTCCATAGGATGGAGCATGTTTTGACTTTATTGTGTCTATAGCCAAAAAAGGAAAAATAGTCTCATTGTAGCTATTAACCAGAAAAAATTACACATATTGCTTTGAGCACAGCAAATTAAAACAGCCTCTTCCTTGACACAGATAGTAAGATTCTATTAGCCTCAGCCCTAGCAGATTGAGAAATAGTTGCTTTTGTAAGATGTCCAAGAAACTGCAGCTCTTAGTACAATCATTTTGTTGTTGCTACTTGGGACTCAGCTTTCTGATCCATACCTTGGAAAACTGCTTGCATCTTCTTTTTCCAAAAGGGCTGGTCTGCCTGTGTTCCTCGTTTATATACCATGCTCCTAAAACCATGCACTGGAAGTGTTCAGTGTTGTCAGCATCTCAGCGTCCAGCGCTCCTTCTCACTCATCATGTTATTGGTTCTGACTTTCAAATATGAACTTCAGATGGCTGTCCTTAAAAATGACCCTAAGCTTGTCTAACGTCCAGAGGAAGTTTCCACTGCAGAATCCTAAATAGAAGTTCAGTTGTCCTGCTGAGGGTGCCCTCCTTATGGGCCCTCCCTGGAGGTTGATGACCACTTTCCACCCTGCTCCGTAAGTGTGGTGGGAGAGAGGAAGGGGATGAGGTGGGAGGAGCAGAAGGGAATTATCCGGCAATGGGTTCCTTAAATGAATTTTTTTTTTTTAAAGTGGATTTGCCTTTCAGCTTCCCAACTCTGAACCCTAAGTAACTTTCTGACATCCTGGCTATCCTTGAAGAGAGTGCATGACTTGGTATTCTCATGGCTCAGTGACATCAACAGGTGTTACGTTTTCTGCCCAGATGTCCCCCTAAAGCATCCTGCAGTTCCAGGAGGATCTCCTGGAAAGTGATTGAGGGCTCACAGCTGGCTTGCTGCTCAGAGGCCGAGTCTAGCTGGAAGAGGTGATCACTGTGGGTGTGGCCTGCGGGCGTTTCCCTCCCCAGCTCCTCCCTTCACGCTCTGCTTCCTGAAGGTCATGAGCTGAGCAGCTCTCCTCCACCAGAGCCTTCCTGCATGCTTCTCTGCCTGGATGAGGATGGCCGCTGTCAGCTTACACTTCCCCAGGTGCCAGCCCTCTGAGGTGCCACCTCCTGGACCTCAGGAACCCCTCACAGGGATGCATGGCATTGTTTCTGCTGTTGTCTCTTTTTTTTCTGAGGAAGTGGGACTTGAACACATGAATGATCTATTTCCTAATTCAAGTTTCTGCAGCTGGAGTAGGCAGGAGCTCTCGCATTCGCATGTGGCCCCACCTCAGGACTTCATTCTTTCTGCCTCCCACAGATATGCTCTCCAGGGCTTCCAGAGGTCTCCCACAACCCAGACAGGCTTCGACCTGGAAACCCCACCTTGTACTTCTGGGCTTGTTCTTGACTCTGTTTCGTTCTCTAGGAGCCTAAATAATTTTCAATTCAGCCTCTCAAGGGCATTCTAGGATGTTCTTGTTATTTTTCTTTTTCTCATTTCTTCTTTGAAACTAATGCTGGAAACTGCAATCTACATTAGAGTTTCAGAGCTAAACCCAGTGAAGGATGACAGGATAGGAATCATTTATACTGTTATGGAGAATATAATAATTTGGAGGAAAAGAAGCTTTTGAGAGTAAATAACTACTATTCTTTGCTTGTTATAATTTATGAAAGTGAACATGCTTTCTTTTTTGGTAGGCTAACACCATCAGAACACAAAATAGATCTCCATAATCAGTGTTGTTTGCTTCAGCTTTCTGATAGTCTAGGAGAAAACCCATTAGTCTTGGTGGGTTTTTATTTTTTTAAATTTTAAAAAGTATTTTATTTACTTGGTACAAGGTCTGCTATGCAGTTCAGACTTGCAGTGATCCTCCTCCTGTCAGCCTCACTAATGCTGGATTATAGACATACACCACTGCCACCCGGTTTTGGCAGCCGGCTCAGCATGTGGTACCAAGGATTGAACCCGGGTCCTTGTGCTTGCCAGGCAGGCACTTAGACTGCTGAGCTATTTCCCCAGCCCATAGCCTTGGTGGTTTTGTCTGTTCAAAAAATCCTCAGCAGAACTTAGGGTATACATAAAGTTAAAGTTCCATTTGAGACAGACATTTAAATGATCAAGTCATGCAAGAGAAAATGGTCACATCATCAGATAACTATAACCCATCTACCTGGGGAATGTCCATTTTTACCTTTCCCTTGGGGTGTGTGTGTGTGTGTGTGTGTGTGTGTGTGTGTATATATATATATATATATATATATATATATATATATATATATATTCATTCCAAACTCACATATCATCGAAGACCAGTTTCTGCCTCTTGCAGTCCCTGTGGCCATTGGAGCCTGGCGACCAGGGCTCTGTTTGTGGTCGTGACTTGCTGTGGAGGACACCATTTTCGGAGTTGTGAGCTGTTTTCTAGACAACAAAAACACAGAAGTCTTTGAGATATTGGTCCCCCAGTGGGAACAGCAGCCCACTAACTGGAACAGCTTTTGTTCATATAGAAACTTTGTCTTTTATAGAGGAATTTTTTTATCTTAATAAATAAAAAGGTATACAATTGAATATCTCTTATCTGAAGTGCTTGGGACCAGAAATGTTAAAATTTGGGATTTTTGTTTTTTTTTTCAGTACTGGGGATTAAGCTCAGGACCCTGTGCTTACCAGGCAGTCACTTATTCTACTGAGCCATCTCCCTGGCCCTTTTTTTTTTTTTTTTTTTCAGATTTTGGAATAGGGGGGTGCCTCAGTTCACGAACACTTTTTGCAAACAATGTGCTTCTCAAACAGAAGTGTCTGGCAAAGTTTTGTGCTTGTTTGCAAACTCTCTGCATATGGCAACAAACATGAGTGCAGCCATTTCTCCCACCCAAGCACAAACATGGCCATTTTTTCCAAAATCATATGATGAATTAAGTTCATGATCCTAGACAGCTATACATTCGCATATTTAAGATGAAATACCTGAAATTTGGGACCCAAATCTAAACATTAAATTCATCTGTTTTCCAGACCTCATCCCCATAGCCCAAGGCAACTTTCTACAATAGTTTTAATGATTTTTGTGCCTTTTGACTGTGACTTATCACAGAGCCAGCTATAGAATTTTCTGCCTTAGTGATCACCTCAGTGATGCTGAACAAGCATTGGATTTTGGAGCATTTTGGATTAGAGATGCTCAACTTGTAGGTGCAGATATGGGCATAGCACCTAATGTGTGTGAACACATACATCATCAGATTACCTTTGGTTATGTAATTGATTCCTTTGAATAACTGAATGTATCCCTAAAAGATGGGCTGGTTTTCTGCTTAACAGTTCTATCATGATACATGTCCAGGAAAACTAGATGCTAACTTGCTGAGATAGTTCTTCAATGCCTCCAATGGTGCCCATGTGGTAAAAGGAGAAATACCAGCCAAGTGGCTTCTGTAACCTGCAAGGCTGGTCCTGATCTACCTCCTAGCCATGCTGCCCTGTTCACTTTGTTCCTCAGACTCGTGGGCAGCTTTCACTTTTTCCCCAGGGCCTTTGCATGTGCTATTTCTGCAGCTAGCAATGCTCTTTACCTTGTAGTGCACTGCTACTTGCCTTTCAGAAAGCTTACATCCAAGTGTTAATTTTCTATGGTCTGTGGATTGAACCTGGCCTTTTTTGTTAATAAAGTTTTATTGGAAACCAATCATATCTGCCTGTTTACCTGTCACCGATGATACTATGTTTGCTTTATAATGACAAAGCTGAGTAGCTAGGATAGTCTAGCACACTTGGCCCACGACTGTAGTCTTATCTGCCCTGTTACAGCAGCAGTTCTCAGAGGGGGATAATTTGGCAATATCTAGAAATATTTTTGGTCAATACCACTGGAAAGGCCATGGCTGCAGCTAAGTATTCTGTGGTGCATGGAACAGTGAGTTACACTGCCCAGAATGTCAACACTGCTGAGAAATCCTATTTTACAGAGAAAAATTTGCTGTTTCCAGGACCAGGGCAAACCTCTTCATTAGAAAAATTAATTCTCTGTATTTCCTTTTTGGTAGTGATTAAAGATATAACATTAGGATTTTCTGATACCCGTCTCCAGCTCTCTCCCTAGTTGACTGTGAGCTTCCTGCAGCACAGACAGATGCTTTTAGACGATCACTGTATGCCTGGTACTCAGCAAAGAGCCTAGCACATAAGTACTTGCTCAGTAAGCAGAGGCTCGGTGAATGAGTCACTAAATACAATCTGTAAGTAACTTGTAGTTTTTTGCATATCATAGTTGTTGGCGATATAAGGGATCTAGAGGCAAAGGGAAGTTTTGTTATATTGGTTGAGGTGGTGTGTGCCTGTAATCTCAGCATTAGGGAGGCTGAGACAGGAGGACCCTCATGAATTCAAGGCCAGCCCAGGCTACCTAGTAAATCAAAGTCAGCTTGAGCTACCTAAGGGAGCTGCTGTCTCAAACAACATCCTTGAAAGTTTTATTTCATACTTGTGGCTAGTTCTTTTATTTTACAGCTTTCTAATATAGCCTTTCTAGATTCTTTCAGCTTAGAATTAAATTATTTGCAAATGAGGGTGCAGAGGCCTAAGTGTCTGGGAAGTGGTAAGATTTAGGCTCTTGTGTGACCATCTGCCAAGTCTCTCACATCTTTCATTCATGGGCTAACGCATTAACTGCCATGTCCCTCCTGTGTCTTTCTCTTCTCAGTTCTGTTCTCCAGTGTCACCTCTCTGCCAGCCTCATAAAGCCAGCTGGGTTTGATGGGCACAGTGACCTGGCAGAACTCAGGGGCTGTCTGGGTTCCCAGACTGCCTCAGAGGGGCCGTGTGGTCCGGGGCCACCAGAGGACGGTGCAGCAGGGGAACACGAATATCATGCTGCTGCAGGGCCCTCCAGAGGGGCTGGGTCTCTAGGGAATGCTGCCTTCGCAGTCTCAACCTGCTACTGTGCAGATGAAGAAACAGCCTCAGAGAGAGTCAGCAGCAGCGCAGGATTGCACTGTAGCCAGGACAGCAGGCCATACTGCAAACCCAGACTAGCTACGAATGCCTGCTTCTCCTGGGGGAGCACTGGAATTGCCTGAGATAACCAGAAAAGGGGTGCCATAAGGATCCCCCATGTAGCCACTTCACCTGTCAACAAGGGCAGAGGGGAGCCCCAAGTGTCTGGTGTGTTTCAGTCCCAGACTCAGCTGCCATAGGGTAGGGATTTTTCCCAATACGGGGCTTGGTTGGCTGTTCTCCCCTGGGACAGTGCTACCCTGGGCTCTGAAATCCTGCCAGGAGGCTTGGAATTCTCTGTGGGTGTGTTCTTTCTCCCTTTGCTCTCTGTGGGGAGCTGGAAGAGTCATCTCCTATACCAGAGCTCCCTAGAAGCTACCTTCAGTGGTTCCCCACAGGGTCTCCAGCCTGAGTTCTGCCTGCATTGGTGGAAGAGGGGTTATGGGGTTAGTGATTCTACTTGGGAAAGGAAGCATGTCAACGAACCAAGAGGTCTGTGGCATGGGACTGCAGCTGGGTGTCGGCCTTCTGCTTTTTGTTGGAAGAAGAGGAAGTGAACACAGCATTGCCATGCGGTCGGCTGGAAGAGCTCAAGTCCTCGGTGGAGTATTTGTGTTTGGAGGCGTCAGAAAGAGGAGAGATGGGAGACCGGAGCATTTTTTCATTTTTATTTACTGGTATTGCCAAGCTGAGAAAAAACAAAAATTACAGTAATGAAATATCACATAGTTGGCACAGGAAAAGGTATGTGTTTAATATATGACCCCAAACTCCTACTTAAGACCTACTGGTAGCACGAATTTATTGGGAAATATTATTAGGAAGAACTTAAAAGCAATAGGACCCTAAGAAACACCATGCAAATCTCATTCTTTGCTTCTTTACTCTTTCTGTCACGATGATGAGTAATTGTGGAGTTAGTGCCAAAAGAAATGACTAAAAATAATATAATACTTTCATGTTCTGGGTTTTTCATCCAAGGATCTCAAAATAACAAACACATTTCTTTTCGCAACAAGCATAAGTGGCAAGTAATAGGAAATTCAGAATAACAGTGATAAATGAGTTCTCCAATTTCAAAAAGACGTTTGCTAATGTTTGAGCTTGTCCCAATTGTTATGGAGACAATAACAGAATCATGGGGCAACCTGAAAATTATGTAGCCAATTGCCAACTGCTGAGTTTCTGAGGTAGCCAGATATTGATTGGAATAATCACAGAATATAGCAACTGTTACTAGAAATGCCCATGTCTGATTTCTAGCTCACTGTATCTTTTTTTTTTTTTTTTTTTAATGTACTTAGTATAGGGACTACAGGGTCTACAGGTTCTCACTACACAGATTGGACTCATAGTGATTCTCCTGTTTTCAGCCTCCCAAGTGCTAGGATTACAGGCATGCGCCACCATGCCCAGTCTGAGTGTGGTCTCAGCGCACCCCGGGGGCGGGGCTGGCACAGCACACTGGGGATCAAACCTTGGTCCCTGTGTCTGCCTAAGCAGATGCTTTAATCTGCTGAGTTATCTGGCCGGCCCTCATTTAACCTTCAAAACTGTCCATTCATGAACATAATATTCTCCAAAATCATCATCCGAGTAGACGGATTCTCTTGTTTGCAAGTCTCTGCAATGAATGTTATATTTTTAAGTTTTGCACAATTACTTTACTTTAAAAAAAAATAACAGTGTTTGGGGCAGACACATTAATCTGAAATAAACCAATCACTGCTAACTTTAGATTTTCCTAGAGGTCACCTGATATAGTCAGCATGCAAAGAGAGGTAAATCCATTTAGCCAAGATTTAATCATTATTCCTGGGGCTGTGAGCTCTTAATTGCAGGTGTTGGTTATCACCGCAAACAAGCTATTAACGTCATTTCAAAAAGCAATTTCCTTAGCCGGTGGTCACAGTGGAGATTACAACACAGGCCTCCAGAACAAATGACCAAGCCAAGATTCATAATGTTATGCACACAGATCCATGTGGAGACAGGGCTTCTGGTTCCAAGAGCACTGTGTGTCTAAAAACTCGGAAAAATGCAAGCAGAGGTGCCACAGAAAATGGCTTTGTGTGAATCCATCCTGGCGTCTTCTGAGGGTAAAGATGCCAGTGCTGCAGCCCAACTGTTTCTTAAAATGAGACTGCGAAAGACCCATTTCTAAGTGTCTATTATTTTTACATGATTCATGACTTTTACTGTGCATGGAAAACCAATGATGATATTAAAAATTGTCACAAATATATGACTGTTCCTTCCACATCATCACAAGTTTACATATTCAAGTTGACCAAAAAAATTTATCCGATGGGTCATCACTTTCTTCTCTGGGATTATGTTGTCACGCTGGGAAATCTGCCCGTAGTACTCACAATGCCAAAGGAAAGAGGTAGAGCACTAGGACACAACGCGTACACATTTTTCACACGCACTGATTACACAGCATCAGCAAAACTATCAGAGTCGGGGGCTGCCAGGACAAGTGTCCTTTGTCTGAGGTCTCTGAACTTGGGTTTCAGAAAGTGACTTCTTCGTTTCACCTCTAAGGAACATTTCCTACAATTACAAGGGTGGCCCGAGAAACCAGGGGAAGGGTTATGCTGGAACTCTATTAGCAAAGTCTGTGATCATGTCTCCTGTGGACAGCAGAGATGTGTTCCTGTCCTACCTCAGTTGTTCCACACATTCTGAAACAGTGTTTACATTCACTGCTTCTTAGCACTGCGGGTATGGACAGATTGGCTGGGGACATTAGGACATGCATGAACAAAGAAGCACACATATAACATACCATGCATTCAAAACTATCTGGGGGCCACAACATCCCCCTTCATATTTTCTGCATAACTGGGACACTGCTCTTTCTTGTGGCTGGGCCTGTCTGCAGGAGTGACTGTCCCTCCCTGTGCCACCCTTCTGAGTCCTGGGCTCCTTCCCAAGGTGATCCCAGGGCCGTAGTGGGCCCATGCCCTTGTGCTCCGCTTTCCTCTCTGACTTTTAGCACTGCTCTCCATCTCTCCCTAACCTTTCCCTTTACATTTTTATGTATTGTGCGGAAACATTAATCTCCCCTTAAGAACCCTGTATGTACAGTCAGGGAGAGTGAAGAGTGTCACGCCAGAGGAAAAGTGGCTCCTGCGTGGAGCTGCTCCAAAATGGCAAGAGCATCTGTGACTGATGAGGAGCCACTCACTCGCCATGAATCCCAGGACCTTGTCTGGCTGCAGAGCCATTCATCACAGGGGCTTTGGTGCACGGTGGGTCCCCGGTGCCCCTTCCTCACAGAACCTTCTTTCAGAAGCTGCACAGCTCTTTTCTAAGGCCACAGTTTTACTCTGCATCGAGAGCTCCAGGTGCATCGCCTGGAGACTCCACTCAGTGTGCCTTTCTGCCTCTTAGTGAGCCCAAGGTTCTTGTGGGCTGAGCAGCTACCTTTATGATACTGGCTTGGAGATCTGGTTTCTAAACTCTTTTGGAGAAAGGCATGTCTTGGTGGGAGCGCAGAACTGTGCGTCCCTTGTAACTGGAATTTGATGGCACAGAAGTGGCTATGGGCGGCTGTAGCACAGCCAAAATTGTAAGTCTCGCAGAAGCAAAGTCTGCAGATAGATGGGAAGTCATCAAAACATTGGACTCCGCCCCACCATGGCACCAAGGACCTCTCCTGCCCTTCTCAGTCTTCCAGGAATGTGCCTACCTGTTGACGTTCATGTTGCAGTGGTTGGCAGATGAGGTATTACTGGTAGCGGCGGCTGGTCTCGAAGAGCTTTCTTTCTCTCCCGGGGCCTTCTTCATGTCCTGGTAGTCCTCTTCATTGTCACACTGTGTGTGGATGAACAAAAGCCAATCAGCTCTGGAATTCAAGGGGTTGCAGTGAGCTCCAGGACCCTGGCCTCCGGGGCCAGGTCTCCCTCCTGTGCCTGAGTGGGAGCCCAGGGAGCTCCTCAGTGAATGAGGAGGAATCTGCGAGGTCTGCTGTCCACAGCTTAATGCCAGAAAGACACGGCACCCTGACTGAGACCTGGAGGAACACCTGAACTCTGGGAGCAGACCTGTTTGAACCCACACAGTAGCTTCAGCATCACTGCTCCCAGCACGGCCTGGCATCACTATGGGGTATAAAAAGCACACATTCTTTGGGCAAGGCCGAGTCTGTCTGATTGGAAGTCATGCCCCTGACATTTTAGAATTAAGGTAGCTTTTCATAAGATAGGACTTGGATTGTATTTTTGTTCATTTGTTTGGTCCTGGGTATGGAACAAAGCCTTCTATACTGAGCTATATCATCACTCCTTTTTTTAAAAAAAATTGAGACAGTGTTTTACGAAGATGCTAAGTTGCCCAGGCTGGGCTTGAGCTGAGGTGATCTTCTTGCCTCAGCCTCCTAGAGTGTTTGGATTACAGACATGCACCACCACTTTTTCTTTCTGGGGTCTTTGGTGCTCACATTATGACAGTGGCCCCAGGGAGGGCCCATCCAAACCTTCTAGTCCCTGGTCCTCAGCCTTGTGACTCCAGCAGGATGAGACTTGGCACCCTGGAGAGCCAGGCCTAGGGGTTTCACCTCTTGTGCCCAGTACTGGGGCCTTAACACCCAAGGATGCTGCATGAGAATGCTATGAAAATGTCCTTTCCTGCTCTTCTGGATGCAGTCTCATTAGGAGTTGAGTTGAGCTAGTGTTAGGTTTAGTGTAAATGAAGTTCTTTGTGTTAAAAAGGCCAAGAATAATACAGCTCTTTACATCAGAGATTTATGGATTTTATATGTATGTATGTTCGCATATCTCTTTTATACCTACTGTATGTAACTCTATATGGATGTTCATTTATGTCTACATGTACTTCACTCTGTATATCCATGCTGGTCTATATAGCCATACCTATTTTCAGTCTCTACATCTGCCAACATCTCCATCTGCACATTTCTTATGCATCATGTGTATCATCCTCAACCTACTCATTTCTTTTTTATTTGTGTTTTTTAAAAAACTTATGTATTTGGTACTTGTGGTGACCATCCTATTTTCAGCCTCCCCAGTGCTGGGATTACAGGCATGCATCACCACGCCTGGTTGGTCTCAGTGGCCAGTTCAGCATACCTGTGGGCAGGGCCAGTGCAGCATGTGGTGCCAGGGATTGAGCCCCAGTCCCCGTGCTTGCCTAAGCAGGTGCTTTGTCCACTGAACTATCTTGCTGGCCCTCAGCCTACTCATTTACCCACTAACCTCAGAGTTACTACCTTGAGGATTACCCACATGCACCCCTAGGTATCGATTTATTCATTCATTCTACAAAAACTGAGCACCAGCAAGTAATGGGGTGATGGTAGTGGTGTCAAGGGGGAAGACAGGAAGAAAGAGGTGCAGGGCAGAAATGAGCCAATATGTGACTTCGTAAAGTGATTAGACGACACCTCTATTTCTGCGTTTTGACCTGTCACACTGATATTTATCTGCTTTTCATGCTGTGTTCCTTTCCATGGGGAATTTTAGGAGATCAAACCTTTCTATATGGCTATATAGAAAGGTTTGTCCATGGAGCCTCGTGTGACAGCACTGGAGATACAGGGCCCAGCAGAAAAACGGTAAACAATGGCTATGAGGTCAGAGGTCCACAAACTTGCTGCTGTATGTGAGCACCCACAGGGCAATGTGGGCCCAACATGGGGCGGCAGTGGGATGCTTGACCCTTCTAGTGCTGCAATGGGTAACTTCTGGGGCTGAGGGCTCAGTGGTCCCTGGACTAAGATGGGGGAGGGCATGGGGCTGGGGTTTTCAGGGGACAAAGAACAGGCTAAGCCCTCCTGTAGGAACAGAACCACACCTGCCACAGCACTAACAAAACCCCAGTGCAGGACAAAATGAAGAGTTTCAAGATGGAAGCCTTTGTGCTAATTCCATGGAGCCTCATGTGACAGTACTGGAGATACAGGGCCCAGCAGAAAAATGGTAAACAATGGCCATGAGGTCAGAGGTCCACAAACTTGCTGCTGTACGTGAGCACCCACAGGGCAATGTGGGCCCAACATGGGGCAGCAGTGGGATGCTGGAAGTTAATGGCAAATGTGAATGGAAATTATATTGGAGTCTGTCGATAAAGGCATCTTTGCATCCTTATCAACAGGAAAGGCCAGTAGCTGCTTGTGTGAAGCTATTTTTTGTCATGAACTTTCTTGAAAGAGGTTCAAATTCTGCTTTATAGTGATAAATTAAGTGAACTACACAAACACATCCATAGATATTTTAATAATAAATTTCCCTGCTGACAGGTGACCATTAGGTCATGAAGACTGCCAGAAGGACACTATATGCCTTCTCTATCTTGCCCAGAAAACAACAAATCTTACACTGTGGTCTTCCTTAAACAAGAATTTGAGACAGCTGATGTCTTACTGCAAGACTGGGACTAGACAGCTGCTTACGTTCACTCCTGGTTCTGCCTCTTCAGTGATGTAACTTGGGAAAGTCACTTTAGGTTCAAAATGTTTGTTTTTAACTGTTACACATAATGCTAGTATGAACATTAAAAAAAGTTTGTCAATTTCCATCAAAAACATGACAGTGTATCCTGATTCAACTTGTCTGTTGGTTCTGGCACTGTATGACTTCTGGCTCTTCCCAAAGTCAAAATGACCACAAAAGGTACATGTTTTGAATCAACTAAGGACACTGACGCAGGCAGGACACTTACAAAAGAGCACTTCCAGAACTGCTTCAGAAAGTGGCAGGAAGGATGAGATAAGTGCTTTCAAATCGAGGAGCAGATTCTGAGGCAGGCTAATGACAATGAGTCTTTTATTCTGACTTCTAGAAGTTATTTGATTGTGCCTTGTATACACACATTCACTGGTGTCTGTGACAACTTTACGTGTGGAACTACTCATAAGTACTGAAATCTTTGGTTTGTCACTTACTGTGGCCCAGGTTACTTTGGAAGATGCAGCAATAGGAGGGGAGGAAAGTTCTCAGGACTGGCTTTTTGTGATGATGCTGGGGTCCCCTGCAGACCTGGCTGAGGGCTGGGAATAGGCGACCACAGGCTCTCCAGGCACATGACCCGCCTTCCCTAGCCAAACCTCACAGGGTCAGCTGGCTCCTCTCTCCTGGTACCCCTTCATCCTGGGGCCTCTGCTTATTAAATGCCCCTCCTCCCAGAACCCTGTTCCCAGCTCTCTCCACCTCGAGGTCCTCCCTAATCAACACTATACCTCAGCAAGGGCTCTGGTGGGGCTCACCACAGGTTCCACTTCCCCATACACCCAGCTCAGCTTGTGCTTGCACACAATGCACATTCCTGTGTGTGACCTTTTCCCCAAGCAGTGGGAGAGGGCTCAATTACAAAATAAGCCGGAGCACTACTCTGCCATAGAGGACAGATGGTAGGAAAACGACTGCATCTTGAGATCACAATGTTAAGTGAAATAAAAGAGACAAGCAAACTTCAATACAGCATGACTGTATTGTGAAGCCCAAAGTATAAAGAGTTACAGGAAACAAAACAAAAAATAGATAATGGGAAGCAGGGAGAGAGATGTTTTGAAAATGAGGGAATGGGACAGCAGGGAGAAGATGCAAAGGGGAACAAAAATAATTAAAATGTGTTAAGTACATGGACCTTCCCTTAAAATTAATATATGTGTGTGTGTGTGTCTGTGTGTGTATACTTTTTTTTGAGGACTGGGCTCTTTGAGACAAGGTCTCACTATACACAGCAGTTCAGGTTGGCCTTGAACTTGCAGCAATCTTTGTGCCTCAGCCTCTTGAGTGCTGGGACGACAGTGCACCACCAGGCCAGGCTCAGTTCAGACAGGCCTGTGCTCACCCCTGCCCACGGCTGAGCCCCTCCCCCAGCCCTTGCCCCCTACCTTGCGTTTCCTCTTAGACTTTGGCAGCGCCTTTTCAGGGTTGGTGTCCAGCGCGTGGCTGGGCGCTGGCCCCTCGGGGTCCTTGGCGGCTGGGGCACTTAGGACCCCGGGCTCATGGGGTAGGTGCTCCGGGATCCTGGACAGCAGAGTCAGGTCGATTTTGACCCACAGGGCCCTGACCTCATCACTGTCCTTGAGCGGCGATAGGAGTTCGTTGCGGCCGAAGGGCACCAGCGTGTAGAACTGCTCCTCTAGCTCCTTGGCGATGTCGCTGCTGGTCCTGGCGTTGATGGAGCCCACTGCAGCGCGCGCGCCCGTGGCCCCGACGCCACCACCAGCCGCCTCCTTCAGCCTCGGGTCAGGAGCGGCGGCGGGCGGTGCTTTGGACGGCGGGAACTCGTCCTGCTCCGACTCCAGGTCCGACTCAGAGGAGGACGATGACGAGGAAGACTCGGTCTCGATGAACTCCTTGGACTTCGGTACCGTCCTGCCCAGGCCCCGCGTGCGCCGCTTGTCGCAGGGGGCGGCTGCGCGCAGCTCCTTGCGATGGCCAGAGCGCCCCGCGCCGCAAGGCCGCGCCTTGGGAGGTTCGGGGGCAGCGGGCTCCTCGGCCCGGGGGCACGCGGCGGCTGGGGTGGCGCTGGCGGGGGCGTCACTGGCCACGCTCCGCTCCGCGCGCCGTGTGGGCTTCTTGGCTCCAGACCTGCGCGTGGGTGCCGGCGTGCTCTCGGTGGGGACCCCGGGCGGCGCGGGCGGCGGGGGCCCGGCAGGGGCCACAGCCGCGGGAGGTGACTTCTGCTTGGTCGCCTTGCTGCCCGGGGCCTTGTTGGCTGTCCGCGGCCTCTGTTCCTCTTTGCAGGCACCCTTGCCGTCCTTGTCCCTAGGTCCAGCAGAACAGGCGTCTGGCAGCTTCGCACATTCCTGCACGTCCTCCTTTCCTGCGGGGGAGAACTGTGCTCCCTCAGGCCCGGCGCCGTCACTTGGAGTCAGCAGCGGGGGCTTGTGGGGATTCACCTTGTTGAGCCATTTATCCAGCTGCCACTTGTTGGACGACGCCGGTTCGGCCTGGAAGCAGAGAACCCGGGAGAAATCAAATAGCTTTTACCAGACTCACCCGAAGCTCTGGCCCGTCTCCCGGGGTCCTTTTCTCGGTGTGCAGGAGCCACTGCACTGACCCATGCAGGGGGATAGGGAGGCCCAGGTGTGTGCCAAGCCTGCTGTTCCGGCACTCGATGTCCCTTCAAAAGTGTGTTAAGCCCAGAACATGCGGGATAGAACTGGCCTATCTACGATCGATTCACTCACTTTCAGGTGTATGTATGTGTAATTACATGTGCCTGTCCCTCACATTTGAGTGCCATGGCATTCAACTGGGGGATAACAGACCTTCAAGTATCTTTTTTTGGGTGAGACTTAACACTTGGAGAGAAATCTGAGAACCTGCAATCCCAAAGAATTAACACGTAATTTATGTGGTGAAGGCAAGGATGGTGTAGTTAACAGGAGAAGCAATACTCTGGCTGGCTTAGCACAGAGAACGCCTCTGTGTGTGTGTGTGTGTGTGTGTGTGTGTGTGTGTGTGTGTCCTGCACTCTGGCAGGCCCACTCAGTTCCTGCATACTGGACCTGCTCCTGCCTTACTCAGCCAGAAATGCTGAGACACAGGGTGGTGGTGGGGCCTTCCTGAGAAGAGGGGTTGCTAACTTAGAGTGCATTATGGATGTCATAGGGCATAAACCCTGGCTAGAAGATGACCCAGAGAGGACGGAGCCAAGGGATGCCTGGAAAAGGGACCGGAGATGTTGCGTGAATGTGTCTGGCCCACCTGGGAAAGATCCAGTTTTGAGCTGAAACTTTAAAGATTTATGTTCAGTAAAGCTTGAGAACCCAGACTCCTAATAAAAGTCAGTTTTCCTAGCATTAGGATTATTAGGGCCCAGGAAATAGCTCAGCAGCATAAGTGCCTGCCTGGCAAGTGCAAGGTCCTGAGTTTGATCCCTGGCTGGTAAAAAAAAAAAAAATTAGTTAGCAAACAACTGGGTTAAGAAACGCAGAACTTCACCCAGGGCACCTGCAGTTTGTCAGTTGATGTGAGATGCAAGAAACATCCAGAGGGATGGGGTGATGTATTTTTCCTTTCCTATGCCTCCCCCTTCCCCCAAATTTATATGCAGATGGCTGCGCCAGAGACTCCAGGGTCCTGGCAGAGCCTGCAGGAGTCAGGGGCTTTGCTTAGGGAAATGCAGAGCCCCTGCTGGGCCGAGGTGGCGGGTACAGAGCCAGTACAAACTGCACACACAGAGTGTGGGGATCGCTGCTCTGTGTTGAGCTGGGGCTGGGCACCTCTGTGTAGACATCCATGACAAGACGGACCACACATGAGGGACCACACATGAGGGGAGACCAGCACAAGGTGTCTGGTGACTGGGGGGGGGCAAGTTCAGCAGGCTTTGAGGATGGGGCAGCTTTATTTTGAAACATAGGTGTAGAAAGGCAGATCCTTATCTCAATGCCCTGACAATGAGTCTGGCCTTTTAATTTTTTTTTTTTTTTTTGAGACATCTCACTATGCAGATCAGGCTGGTCTTGAACTCATTATGTAGCACAAAGTGTCCTCAAACTCATGGGGATCCTCTTGCCTCAGCCTCCCAAGTGCTGGGATTACAGTCATGCACTGTCACACCTCAAAAGGAGTCTGGTCTTTTGATTTGATTTTATGCTTTGTTTTCATGACATCAAAATCCAGAATAAGATGCAAAGGAACAAAAAGACATACTGTTTGGGTCTCCCTTATCCAGAATGCTTAGAATGAAAAGCTTTAGATTAAAAAAATTTTTGGAATATTTGCACATATATAATGAGATGACAGGGACGGGGCCAAAGTCTAAACACAAAATTCACTTATGTGTCATACACACTTTACACACCTCACCTATACACTATTTGTAATGATTCTGTGTATAGAACAAGGCTACTCTTTCACTTGTGGCCTTATATCAGTGCTCAAATAGTTTTGGATTTTGTACAATTTCAGATTTCAGGGTTTTGGATTAGAGAAGCTTAACCTGTATCATCTTCACACCTTTGAGTTGCTCGATGCAAATTCTTGCTTTATGTTGGCTTCTCCTGAGAAACATGCTGCATCATAGCAAGTGGAACAGAGACACAGACAGCTGCTTGCCCAAGGGGGTGTCCTCCTCTTGCCTGAGATGACGTAAAAATGACCAAAACCTAATTTGGTGGCTGCTATTTTTGTGTGATCTTTCCTTTTTTTTTTTTTTTTAACATTTATTTATTTATTTATTTATTTATTGTGTGTGTGCGGCCAGCTCAGCCCACCAGGGGGCGGGGCTGGCTGGCATGTGGTGCTGGGGATGGAACCGCAGTCCCTGTGCTTTGCCGAGCTTGTTCCAAGTAGGTGCTTTAGATCACTGAGCCATCTCGCCAGCCCCTGGTGGCTGCTATTTTTGTGTCACCTGCCTCCATTTCTTCCCAGGTGTGACCAGTGGAGATCAAGTCCTTCTGATCTGCACCAGCTTCCCAGGATGGGTGGGACCCTGCGCTGACTGGAGCAGAAAGGTGCATGTGTCAGAGACGACTTGCATGCCTGGGACACTCAGCCACCTGCTGCTGGCTTGAACACCAGCACTCCTCCTTCTAGGACCTGCTGTGGCTCATGCCTTTCATGGGAGAGAAGAAGGAAGACAATATGGAGCCCAGCACAGCCACGTGTGGGAAGAGCCACACTGAAACTTCCGAGTGGGAGCACTGCTAGTGGTGAACGGAATTTAACACATCTCCTATGGTCCTGTTGCCTGATGTGCTTTAGGGTCATTTTTCCCTGCACTTCACAGCTGAACAAATCAGTCTGAAGTACCATTTTCAACACATCACTAAATCACACTCCCTTTCCCAAAGATCTACAATAACCTCCTATTACCTCTCCAATGAAACCTAAATTTCCCCTGCTGACACTCAAGGGCCATCATCTGGTGATCATTTTTCATTGCTGGGACACTGGTAATATGCCTTCCATTTTACACACACTATTTATTTGAATCTTTACAGATAAGAAGTATTATCTCCCCTGATTTGTAGATGAGGCTCAGAGAAGTTCAGTGAAATGTCCATAGCGGCAGTGCCCTTTGGCTCCACCAAGACTAACCTGTGCTTATTTAATGTAAAGACCAGTTTCTGGGCATTCCTGCCCCGTGTGATGGTTGATCTTGACCATCAACTTGACTGGCTCGGGAGATGCCTAGGACATTGGTAAAGCATGCTGGTAGGTGTATTTGGGAGGTCATGGAGTGTGACCTTGGGGACTACATCTGGTTCCTGAACCCTTCCTTTCTGGCTTTTCCTTGCTCTCTGATTCCTGATGTCATCAGGTGAAGTAGTTTTGCTCTCCCATGACGTGCTACCTTGGAGTCAGCTAACCATGGACTGAAATCTGGAAATCCTGAGCCAAAGTAAATTTTCTTCTTTCAGTTATGGGTGTCAGGTATCATGTACCACCGACAGGAAGCCAACACAGAGAATTGGCACCAGAGATGTGAAGCTGTTGCTGTAAGTATGCCTGAACTTGTGGTTTGGAGCTGGTTTACGGGAGGAGTTTGGAAAGGTTTGGAGATGTGGGCTAGAGAAGTCCTAGAATGATATAAGCAGTCTGATGGGCAGTTTTGATGGGAGCCCAGAATGCTGACAGGAATACTGGCAGTAAAGGCCAGGCTCCAGAGGTTTCAGATAGAGTGAGGAAGTAAACTAGAGCCTACATGTGTTTCATTCTGGCACATGTTTTGTTTTGTCCATCCTTTTCACTTTGTGTGAGGCTAATACATTGCCCACACTCTCCTACTTTCTAGTGCAGCCTCAGAAAAGGAGGACCCATTCCTTTGAGATATGTTGGCTTTCAAACTAAAATGATAGCCTGAGACTTGAGTTTTAAGCCCTCCAAACAATACCTGATACTCAATAGTGGTCTTCTGATGTTCATATGTATCTCATGTGCATATCTCTGTATCTTTAACAAAGCTCAACTGTTTCTTCAGGCCAAGGCTCTGTGTCCTGTACACCCTTCGGAGCATACATGCTTGGTTAGGAGGCTGAATGCTGTGGTGCTCCTGCTAATGAGTGAGCTGTCACCATTCCCAACAACCATCCCACAAAATAGGCAGAGAAGCATGAGCTACCCTTCTGGAGAGAAGAGAGTTGCAGCCAGGGAGGACGAAATGATAGTTAAGCAGTGATAGAGAAGGGAGCCTTGGTCTCAGGCTGTAGCTCACCAACATGCCCTGGTGAAGACAATCCCTTTCTGGAATGTTCACTGGGGCTTCTGCCTGGTGTTTTTGTTTCTCAGCTCACTGCTTCTTATGTTCAGCTACAGTTCTGTTCCATGAACGACTTTCCCTCTGATTCATGCACAAGCCGTCTGCCATGTCCATGCTCCATATCCTTCACAGAACCCAGAGCCATGTACCTCAGAGGTGGCTTAGTAGTGGGCTCCATGTCACCTCAATGAGCAATGTGCATCATATTTCTACTTTCTTTCTTTTTTTTTTTCTTTTTTTTGTAGTACAGGCATCGAACCCAGGGTCTTGTGCATGCAAGGCAAGAGACTCCACCTCTGAGCTACATCTCCAGCTTCCTCTACTCTTTTTTTTTTTTTTTTTTTTTTTTTTGTGTGTGTGTGTGTGTGTGTGGCCAGCTCAGCCTACCCTGGGGTTGGGGTTGTCATGGCATGTGCTGCTGGAGATCAAACCACAGTCCCTGAGCTTTGCCTAAGCTTGCCTAAGCAGGTGCTTTAGACTGCTGAGTTATCTTGCCGGCCCCCTTTCTACTCTTTTTTTTTTTTTGGCAGAACCGGGGATTGAACTCAGGCCCTTGCACTTGCCAGGGAAGCGCTTATTCCACTGAGCCATCTCCCCGGCCCTTTCTACTCATTTTTAAGAAAGCACTGCAGAAGCATTTTACAGCATATGCTTTTAACTTAAATATTCCAAGAAGGAAGGTTTGCTGTGGTCAGATCCATCTGGTTAAGGCCACAGTGGGAAATGTGGTTTGCATGAGCAGTATTTAGGGCTGGGTGATGCCCTATGTAAAGAAATGGGCTCAACTTTATCCCAGGACTCAAAATGATGTCACTGTGTTTTATTTATTTGTAATGACTTGGGCAACCCTGGGCAAGGGAGTCTTGTGCACCTGTATCAGCGTGCCAGCTGAGCAGAGTGAGAAGGTGCACAGGGCCAGGAAAGCGCACAAGAAAAAGCTATATGCATAAGAGGAGGAGGCCAAGAACAACTAAATGCATACCAGGGCCTGGGAAGGGGGTGTGCAGGTGTTAATCTTGGGGAAATGTTAAAAGACACCTGCTTTTATTCCAGCAGTACCTCCCTTCGCAGCAGAAAGGAGTAAGGCTCTGTGTGGCTAACAATGCTTGCCACTTGGCATTTGCTCTGCAGAGAAGCGAGGAGTGGAATCCTTGCTGGGCCTCAGGGAGCTCTAACTTGTAGGCTGCTTTCGCTGACTTGTGCTCCTTGTCCCCAGCAAGGGCCTCTGACAGCTGCTACAAGAAATGGCAAGTGCCTTCTCCCCCGGGGTTACATGGCTTCCTAAGCTTCCTAAAGATCACAGCAACTTTAGAAAGAACTTGCTTAAAATGCTTTATAATTGTACTGCTTTCCAGCAGGTCAAGGTTGTGGCCCATTCAGGGGTTTCAGGAGTTGCCTTTAAGTGTGAAAAGGTGGCTCCACACTCATGAATTTAACTTACAGGGCACAAACTGGAGCCTGGGCAGGTTGGGCATCACAGACACTAAGGCTTTCTATTTACTGTCTCTAGGGTGTAGCTATTTATTATAACTAAATCTTCTGGAATTCCTCATAAGACAGATTTCATATGATACACAATTTTTTAAAATGTATTTTAGGATCTACAGGGTCTCACTACACAGGTAAGACAGACTTTATAAAAGTACAGCTCTTCTTTATTCTGTTGAAATCCTGTAGTTTTCTGTTTCAAACTATCCTTGTTGCATGTTAGCTCTATGAAGACAGGGGCATGTTCTGCCCTATAATGGCTTGTTCCAGAGACATGTGCTATGTCTAATGCCCAACAGGTATTTGTTCAATGAATGCGGAATGAGTGAATGAATGAAATTAGGAGAGAGGAATAAAAGTTTGGTTCCTGGGAGAAGCCAGAGTTAAAATAAGCTGGAAGGCTTTTCTAGGCTCATGTTGCTTGGCACTTTCCCTCATCAGATAGGTGGGTAGATTTATTTTATTTATTTACTGGATACAGGGTCTCACTATACAAACAGAATTGTAGTGATCCCCCAGTCTCAGCCTCCCCAGTGCTGGGATTAGAGGCATGCACCACCATACCCAGTTTTGGGGCCAGCACGGCATGCAACATCAGGGATTGAACCCAGATCCTTGTGCTTGCCAGGCAGGGGCTGGAACTGCTGAGCTATCCCCCCAGCTCTGTGGGTAGATTTAGATTGATGGACAGAGACAAGAACTTCCTGGGAAGGAGAAAATGATAAAAATGTGGCTATGCCAAGATGAATGGAGAGCTGGACTATAGAGTAGAAAGATATTGCACAGGAAGGAAGGATGGTGGGAAATAAAACAAAACATCTCCAGGGATACGAAGAGGTACTCTGTGAACCTGGGATAAGACATCACCACGTTGTCACTGCTTCAGGTGTGACAACATCTCGGGGCGACCCTGTAAGGCAGTCAGTCCTTGTCATGACTTGTGTTGCACGAGGGTTTGATTTCACATCAGAACCTATTTAGGAGTCTACACCCCAAAATAGTATAGAGGATTATAAGTAAAATATTAAACCCCACAATCCTTTAAGGAATCACAGCCTAATCTTCTGGCTCCCAAGACTTGAGAAGTTTGTCCCTTGTCTGTCTTTACCCAGGAATCTTTGTGCTCTGAATTACTATTTAATTCCCCCTTTCAACTTTCAGGCAGAAACAGCGCAGGTTTTCATTGGTGCCTCATAATAGTTTTATACAGGCTACTTAAATCTTCCCCATAGATACTCATCATAGCTATAAAAGGTTTCATTATTATTTGTGGGTGGATGCTAATTTCCCCTTTATATTTCCACAAAGAAAACACAGTTAAGCAGGTTTTGTTAATATTTATGGCCCCTGTCCTTCTGATCCACAACAAGCTGTGAAAAGGTGGGATTCTAAGCATGCCTAACCCATAAAACTCCTTCCTGTGATTTATGGTGGTCACACTGCCCAGGTGGCGAGCTTCCCTGTCTGGTTACTGCCTCCCTGACCCACAGGGAAACTCTTTCCATAGGTTATTTCCTGTTAGTGATTTTTATAGCACATTTGGAAATTTCTGGAAATTTTTGGACAGTGAAAGATGATGCTTCAGACTTCAAAGGAAGCAATCATTAGGGGGTTTCGAGGAAGGGGCACAAGTGGAGCAAGTGAGGTGCCCCAGGTCTCAAAGGTCCTCTGTCTTGTCTGAGGTTGGGGGGTGCAGGAGGCTTAGGAGGTAGGGACAGGAGAGCCTGAGAGTTGGGGACTCCCTGGCCTCCAGCCCAGGGGGTGGGGCGGGGCTTACCTCCGGGCTGGAGTAGTGGGGTGGCTTGCTGCCCTCACTCTCGCTGGAGCTGCTCTCTGTCTCCGAGTCCGATCCCGAGCTGCTCTCTGAGTCGCTGGAAGAGCTGCTGCTGCTGCTGCTGCTGCCACTGCTGCTGCCCTTGCTGGACGGCACAGAGCTCCTGCAGTTGGTCTGCTGGCCCGAGGCGCTGCCAGGTGGTGAAGGGAAGGGAAGGGAAGCCAAGTGAGCAAACAGGAAGGCGCCCGCAGGCTGCCACCCGGGTGCAGGGACGGGGAGGCACACACTGCGCGTCTGTCTCAGGGAGCGTTCGGTCATCCAGATCAGAGGCAGCCCGGTGATGGAACAAAGCGAACCAGGCACAGAAATAAAACCGAGGATGGAAGCTGGTTCTCCTCCGGAGCTGGGCACTGGTTCTGCGGTGTTCAGTGGCCACTTTAAAAAGTAGGATGGTCTTGAATCCAGGTGGCCCCTGTGTGGATGCTCTTTCTGGGAACCGCTTTTCCCTCGCACCCCCTAAGTCACCTACACAAATGGGAGAAATCCAGAAAGCTGGAAATTGTTTGTTATGTGTCGAACTGACTGACTGCTTTACTTTTGCCCCAGAGGAAAACCGAGCCTGATGACAAGCAGCAGGAAGAGGACTGACAGGAAGGGACAGTTAGCAAGCCTGCTGGAAGGGCCCACATCTCAGGGCTGTCAGAATTCAAAACTTGCTTCCCCCTTTTTTCCACCTGCGGAGTCTAGGACTGTCTTCATTCCTGGACCCAGCCTCGTATGAACCAGAAGCTTTTCTCTGAGTCTTTAGTAAAGAACTACGATCTCTCACGTATGAACTTTTGTATATTCTGGACTTTAAGAGGCAAATTTACACTTAGTGTTTATACGCAAGCTGAGCTTTGCTTCAAATTCCTCAGAAACAACAGGAAAAACCAATCCGTGCTTTCCACGGGTAATTCATTAACCACAAAAAAAATCAAATAGCACGGAGCCACCCAAAGAGCATTTTAGTCAAAGAGAAAAATCCCACTACTCATATTATTTTCAACATCTTCCAACTCCTTTATTAACTGAATTGCAACATACTTGAAAGTGTTCTTGTGAGGTCCAGCGCTAAGTCCCCCAAAAGTGCTGGTCACTTTTTTATGTCAAGTCAGCAAGAAACCTGCATCATTTTCACGTGGCCACAGCTTCCACAGGGTTCCATGTCTGAGGAGGCAGGGCTCATTAGGGTTTATGGTTTTGAGTGCAAGGCAGCTGCACAAGGTAAAGGACCCCTCCCACCATCCCTTAAATCTCTGACGAATTCTTTGCCCAATGACAGACTCTTGTAAATCCCTGGTGTGGGGGCCAGGAGGAGGGCAATTCTCATTACGAAAACCACAAGACAAAAAGCCATCTTGTAGGACCTCTGACGGCAAAAGTGCCTTTCTGAATGGCGGTTTTCGTCTCTTCCTACCAGTGTCATGGTCCATGCACAATGCCTGCCAGGTTCGTGCTATGCCTGAGTGGTAGTGATTTCTTTTCCTCCTCCTCTTCTTCTTCCTGCTCCTCCTCCTAAAACTACTGGGTTCTGGCCAAATGTGAACACTTGGGAATCCATATTAAGGGTTTGTTGTGCAGCCCCTAAATTTTCCTGTTAAAAGGATGGTGGGTACAGAAGCCTGAGAAAGAGATTTAACTCCCTGCTGCACTCTGGGCTGACGTGTGCTGAAGAGCAGGAGAGTAAGACTAAGAACTTTGATCGGTATATTCTCTGGGCTTATATTCAAATGAGGAACATGTCAAGCTGGTTCTGTGTGTGCCTGGGTGGAGGCAGGGTGTGTGTGTGTGTGTGTGTGTGTGTGTGTGTGTGTGTATGTAAAGACAGTAAATAACTGTCTTTAAAAAGTAGCCTTTTAGTTTCTGGTGAAAATGTCCCCTGAACAGTTACCCTGCTGTTTTCTGTTAACGATTGCTTTCTGTGGTAATGAGGTATCCAAGGCCAAGGTGACCTGAATTAGACTGACAGAAAAACCTTATTCGCCTGTTTCCTCTCCCTTAAATTAGGCAACTGACTTAGACTGACAGTTTTACTGGCAAAACTGTTATTTGTGTTTAAAACAGCTGAGAGAGCCAAGGATTGAGACATTTCTCCATGCTGTGCTTGTGAGAGGCTCACAGTATCTTTGCGATCAGGGCTGAAAATACATAGTCCTGACTTGCGATGATCTGACTTAAGATTTCTCAACTTGATGAAGGTGTGAAAGCGATATGCGCTCATTACAGTCAAGGCAGATTTTGAATTTAGATCTTTTTCTCAGCTAGTGACATGCAGTCTGGTCAGGCTGGGTTGGGGCAGTTCACACTCAGCCAAGAGATCAAAGTGTCCTGAGATGTTGGTAGGTGTACTGCATTGAATGCTGCTTCCTTTTCTGATTCTCCTCTCCTTCCCCCTTCCTTTTCCTCTCCTCTCCTCCCTGCCCTCCTCCTTTCTCTGCTCTCTCCCTTTCTCTCTGTCTCTATATGTCTCTGTCTGTCTGTCTCTGTCTGTCTGTCTGTCTGTCTGTCTGTCTGTCTCTCTCTCTGTCTCCTTTTTTTTTTTTTTTTTTTATATATTTTTAATTAAAAACAAGTTTTGGGTTTTTTGTTTTGTTTTATCTTTTGTTTTTTTTTTTTTTTTCCCACACAGGGGATTGAACTCAAGGGATTTACCCTAGGCTACATCCCCAGCCCTTTTAATTTTTATTTTTGAGATGGGGGCCTCACTAATTTGATATCATTTGCCTGGGCTGGGCTTGAATTTGTGATCTTCCTGCCCCAGCCTCTCAGAATGTTGGGATTTCATGAGTGAATCACCTTGCCTGGATAAATCCATTTTCAATTTATGATATATGCAATATTTAATACAGCCAATGGGACACAGCCCCATGGTACATTGAGGAATATCAGGTCTTTCTACATCATTGGTCTGGGTGGAGAGGGTCTAGCCAGGGAAAAAGCTGAGGATGTCACAGCCTTGCCCGAAGGGTGCTGTGGGCCAGCTCTGAGGTCCAAAGGACGACCTGGCTTCCCTCCATTGAGGTAGCTCCATTACCTGGTGTGCATGTCTTGGGGGCAACCCATTACCCTGGGCTCAGGATAGAGACTATTCTTTTTGTTTGTTTTTCAAGACAAAATTATACATTTATTTATTCAATAAAGTTTTCAAAATTATTATGTATTTTGATAATTTGTTCAATTTTCATTGCAAGATAATGCTAAGCACTTATTACTACCAGTTATTATAATTGTTAAACATCCTTTCTGTATGTTAACTGAGTAACAAAAATATGACAGAAAATTAAAGCTGAGATGAAAAGTTTTTATTATCTGGTAATCTGTTCAACTACTTTGAAGATAATGATATGTAATGTAATGACCCTTGGTGATTTCCTATCATCTTGTTTTGAAATTCTGCATCATTTTTAATGTTTTGAAATTTTTTATTCTCAGGCCAGCCAGATAGCTCGTGGATTAAAGCACCTGCTTAGGCAGGTACAGGGGCAGGGGTTCATCCCTGGAATGCCACACTGGCCCTGCTCCTGCCCCCAGGGCACGCTGAGCCAGTGAATTGGTGGTGCATGCCTGCAATTCCAGTGCTTGTGAGGCTGAAAACAGAAGAATCACATGAGTCCAAGCTGTGTAGTGAAACCCTGTAGACCCCAAATTAAATACATAAAAATAAAAAAATAAAAATTTATTCTCTTTATAAAAAATGTAACAAAACAGATGAATCTTTTTTTTCTCTAACAAACTCAGATCAGAACTGTGAATTCTGACAGATAACTAGTTTGCCACTTTTTGTTGAATGTCTAGTAAAGTTTTTTATGCTTAATAAAAGCACTAAAGATATATTTAAAATCATATCACAAGATAACATTCCCTCATATTTTTTAACCCATGGACCTATCAGAACTCAGAGCTTATGCCAAATACGGTATGAGAGAATTTGTTTATCTGAGACTTCGATGTGACCCAGGGCTGCAGGTAGAGAAAGGAGTGTGGACGCAGAGAAGCCAGGCAGGTCTCTTGGAAAATAAAATCCAGAAGATGGAGAAGCACCCAGCAGAAAGACCTTCCTGAAAGAAGGCTTTATACACTTAAAATTGCAAAGCAAATGCTAGCAGTGCCGGCTGTTGTGTGTACACACCCAAGATGCGGAAAAAAAGTAACTCAGTGGAATTTTCTCTGAAATAATACCACACACTGGTTGACATGATGACACAGCTTTGGAGGTGTTTCAGTGCACTGCGTGCCAAGTGCTTGGACCCTATGCCACTTCATGAACATGGTGCTGCTGACAGTGAAGAGAGCAAAACGTCACTGAGATCATGGAATAAAAGTTTTTGTGTCACCAAAGCAAAACACAGTGCTCAGCATTCGTATGGAATTACTGGATGGAAAAAAAAAATGGGGAAAATCCACCTCAGGGCTAATGAATCTTAAAAATAGAGCTACAGCCTTTCAACAACGAGACAATCTTCCCTTCCTCCCTCCCAAACCAGAGCCTCACCCATGGTAGGAAAGTGCTGTCCCAATCAGTCACACCTTCTGTATCACTTCTTTTCTGATTAAGAAAAAGAACAAGTGAGGATTTCAGGCTTTTATATTCTTCCAGGTTTAATGCTCCTTCCTTTCTGAGAAAAATTTTTAAATGGACTCTATTCCATCTGCTACAATTTCAGCATGGTTTCCTCACAGAGGGTGTGTTTACTTTTTGTATCTTGATTTTATTAACTGTTCTGCTGGTTTTGTGAGTAGCTGGGACTCCCAACACTTCAAAACACACCTTGGTGGCATGTCTGGCTTTACTTTTTTTTTTTTTTTTTGCCATGCCCCTTCCTTTGGCTCCACTAACTCATTTCTTTCAGAATCTGGCCGGAGCCAAGTCTGAACACAGACCATGAAAGAAAAGACCTTCAGGAGTGCTCCTGCTGCCAAGTGAGGTGCAGGGTATGGATAAATAGCCTTAGCTGCTCACAACTGCTCTCTGACAAGTGACCTGGGGGTGGGCTCTGTGCCCCCTTGGCACTTTCGGCACAGCTGTGCTGCCCAGCTCAGCGCCAGGCGTCCTGTGGGTGCTCTTGGCACTGCCTGAAGGGTAGCATGGAGCTTCTTCTCACTTGGCCTCTGTAGGCATGCAGCAAAGGCCTCACCTCCCATCCGAGA